ATATATATATATATATATATATATATATATATATATATGTGTGTGTGTGTGTTACTTTAGTATAAGATACTTTTACAGTTTTTATTCATATTTTGAAATAGTTATATTTTTATATTTTACATAAAAATACATTCAAATTTTATATTTTCTGTTTTCATTTTAATTTTAGTTAAAGTTTTTGTAATTTTGTGTTTTTGTCATTTTAGTTATTTTAGTACATCAAGTTATACTAAATGAAAACGAGAAATGTTAGCTGAAAGTTAACTGAAATAAGTTTTTTTTATTTTATTTCAGTTAAAATGTACTTTATTTTAAGTAATGAAAATGTTTTTACTGTTGCAACTTTTAGTTTGGTTTAACTCTAATAACACGCACACACACACACATATATATATATATATATATAGTATGTGTGAATGTGAGTTTGACGTTGCCCACAGTTCTCTAGTCCTTCACCCCACCACGCCTGATGATCCAAACATGATTGACAATTGAGCTTAAAGTGTAACGAACAGCATCATCCTGTAACCTTTGCTTTTCCTTTCTGAAAGACTGAGCATGTGTGGAGAGCCGTAGGCAGGTCCTGCAAGCTTCATTTAGCAGGAAAACCTTCCAGTGCTGGAAAATATTCCAGCCAAAAACACGCCAGGGGAAAAAGAGAGTCAAGCCAGCAGAGGCGGCTCAAAAATAACCCAGTTGAGATCATTTCTTTTCTATAGCGGAAAATTGATATAAATAATTCCACATAAAAGTGTGGCGTTAAAGCTGAAAGGAATCATGATTGGTGAGCGGCAGCCGCGATGGCGCCGGTGTTTGAGCGAAGCACGCGGGACGTTTCGAGGCAGCGATCCAATGTAAATCAAGACGATGTTGCTTTAACTTTGAAGTGAATGATCCGTTGTGATGCGGTCGTGAGTTCATAAAAGCGTTGAGGCTGTTGAAGTGTGTCATTTTTTGCATGTTACTCATATCCTGTCTTAAAGTGTAGAGTCACACATTTGTAGGCTGCTGATTGCTCCAGATGTTTCAAAACCTTTGTGTTTGAGCATCCTAACCGACCCGACACAGCAGCACTCGACCAAAACCTGATTCAGAAAACACGTCTCACCTCGTCATCCTTGTACCAGGACAGAGATTCGGCCGTCAGGACAAACCAGTACTCCTTAGCGCCGCCCTTCATGATGCCAATGTTATTGATGGTCAGCCAGCCCTTCCTGATCACCTGAAACACATTAGCCATGAAATACTGGCTTACTGCATACTGTACATTATAGTATACACTACCTACTGGAAAACAACGATCTGTGTGCAGTGATAAACACTTATGAACCCGAGTCTTAATTCACTCTTTCATAATTTAAAGCCTTAAAAGATCAGAGCCATGGCTTTAAAGTTGCATGCATTTCAAGTAAACATCCTTAAATCAAGATACATTTACTAGAGATGCAAAATTAAGAAATTAAGTCTTGTTTTCTGAGAAATTCAACAAAACTGAGTTTACTGTATGCTCAAAACAAGAACAAGTACCTATCAATGAGGAGTGAAAACTTTTTCCCCTTTTATTTAAGTTAATTTATCATTTTAGTCAGATATTTGTTCCTGTTTTAATCATAAACTCGCTTAAGTTTGATCAGTTTCTCATTAAACAAGACTTCTTATCTGATGTCATTTTGCATCTCAAATAAATGTATCTTGATTTAAGAATTATTCATTTAAGATTTAAGGAAGAACATCACTTTTTGATCAGAAGATACAGTAGAATTATTTAGTAATTGGGAACAGAGTTATTCAAGTCTTAAAAAGTAATGGAGATCTGTTTGAATTTGTATTTTCAAACTTTGAAGTGTTGCTAATATAAATCATTATGAGACCATATTGGCGTATTGTGTTCCCTTCAGTTTATTCCTTAAATGTTCTTTACTTGGTCTTAAAAAGTCTTAAATGTATATGCAGATACTTGGTCACTGTATTTCAAGCAGTACATACTTAACATGTTCTTGTATTGCTAGCAGTAACACACTTTGAGTTTCCTTCAAATTTTGCTATCATTAAACCAGATGTGTTATTATTCAGGTAGCTAGATATGAACATAGTAATAGTTTAACACAATTTAACTAACTTGCTCTTGAGGATTTTCTACAGACAGTTTACATACTGCACACACAACCATCCAGTATTCATTCATGAGCAGTGA